CATACTTAAATCCTATATTTACTCTTTCCATGCAACCTCTTAAACTATGATAAATCTACCCACTATTTGTCACCATTCAAAGTATTTAATAAATATTCATGACACCATAATGCCGTGAAAAATAAAAATGTGATATGAAAAATAAAAATTGAATTCACATTTTATTTGAAGAAATCCTAAAGGGAAATGTTAAAGAATAAGGGTGAAAAGGAAACGATTTATCAAGTTAACCAAAAAACCCATCTAATTCCTTGACAGATTGATATAGACTGGCAGAGTAGGAAGCAAGTGCAATACAAATGCTAAAAATTGTCAAATCCATTTAAATTCCAAGCACCGACCCTCCCTACGGTTATGATGTATGTGTATAGAAAAACGACACAAGCTATTGAGTGAGTAACATTTCGAATATAAAAACGATCGCTAAAAGTATTACCGTCACATAAACCGATTTAGAGCATTGCCGGTTGTTTGGCTTGCTTGAATAACATTGCCAAGTGAAAAGAAAACATCGTATGGGTAAGAAAAGCGAAAAAATATTTGCATAAGATTCTTTCGCCTTTAAATCGCCTTGGCAAGCAATGATAGAAATATATGGATTATATCTTATCAGATTTGTGATATAACGTAGAGGTATCACATAAACCCTATTTCGTTATAAATACTGCGAAACAAGATGTATCTGGTATCAATATTTTAATGCCATATCTATCTCGACAGGTTTTATTACGAAACTGGATGTTGATATTGGCATTTCTTTTTTATTTCATCGGGATATATTTTTCTCTATGAATAACGTTTCTTGTGCAAATTCTTTCAATGTCTAGAAGGAATATATATCGAGATTCTTTCTGAAATTTTATATCGATGAAATCAGCATATAGATGAGAATAAAGTATTTCGTCTCATATAAATAATACATGAGTGAGAAATGAAAGTATTTTATTTTAGAAAAAAAATACTAAGAAAGGTATTTTATTTTAGAAAAGAAAAAAGATTGAGGTATAAATAAAAAGAATAAGAAATTGGGGGGAAGATTTCTCTTCAAGGGCAAATTTTATGCACCAGATTTATTCCTATACCATTGAAACCAATGTAGTTCATTTCTTAAAACTAAATTTGACTAATTTTTTTAAAGAATTACATTCAACAAATAATAATTGGTTTTTTGAAGGAAATTTCTGAATTAAAAAGTAGTGTTCAGTAGTTGAAAATAAATTATTTTAGTTATTTAATTCGTTTTTTTTTTCTCAAAATATTATTTAATGTAAAGCTTTTGCGCTTAATAGCATTAAAATACATTTGTTTTAACTAAAATAATGCGTTCGGAAAATAATGCTTCCACTAACATTGAAAATACTTATCCTGAATATCCCGTTAAAAAAATAATATTTTCATCATATTAAAAATAAAAAAAATTCATCATTTACTCGTGCTGAATTTGATGTTTGGAAAAGAGTACTTAATTATATTTTTGAAGAAGTAAGTGCTTTGACATTCATACACTGATTTGCGAGAAAGTGGTAGAGAATCGGCAATTAAAATATAATATGCTTTGCTACTTTTTCTCGAATTACAAATTTATGGAAAATTTCTTTTACCAAAATTTCATTTTGGATTATTATTTTAAGTTTTATTCTCACATATTGTTGAACTTTTTTCATGATCAACTTACAGTTTTTTTTTTTTTTTGACGAATTTCTTTCCTGGCAAATGCCACGAGCGAACACTGCGTCCAATTAAGAAAATTGCTATTCTCTCCTGTATGGGGAGACGAATTCTATAACTTGAACCCGAGAATCTTGCTTGAAAAAAAAAAAAGCTCACTAATTCATGTTCCATCCCATCATACAGTAGTAATCGGGGGAAGCAGCTTCTGTAAATATTTGCGAGTTCGCATTTCGTCAAAAATGGCTGATTTCATTTTGAAATCACATAAAATTCACATGAAAAAATTGTCAAACATAACCAAATATAGCTCAGGAATTTCTAAATCGTAAAATAGGGGGACTTTTTTTCCTTCGAGTGCAATAATTTAAAAATATTATTTTTATTCATACATAATTATATACTAATACTAATGAATTGCGTTTTGTCATAGATCGTTATGTATTTGCGTGCGTTAAAATAGGTAAACATATTAAGCCATATTTTAGGTAATTTCAAAAAATAAGTTTAATATATATAAATACCCCAGTAAAATGTTTATAAGTATCTTTTTTTATTCGAGACCTTCATTATATTGCTGCTTCTTTATTTCTTATAGGAACCTTATTTCCATTTGAAGACTTTTTCTTGTAACTTGAATAATTTTTACTTTCTTCAAAAATAGTTAGATATCTAAAAACAATTTATTCGTTTAATTTAAAGTCAGACAATTTTCAAATATATTAAAATTTTGAAACTAAACTTTAAAATTAAGTTTTAAAAGTCCCGTGAATAAAACAACATCAGCACTAACATAAAAAACTAGTTTTCTTTATTCTAATTTGATCTTTTTTAATTGATTCTTTAAATTTTTATCTTGCGTGTCTTTTTGTATACAATTTCATGATAAAAAGAAAAATATATTTTTTTTCTTAATTGTGAAATTATTAATAACTTTGATGTTCCACAATAAATGCCCAATGGCTTCATCATAAAATGGTAAGAGCTCTCCCAAAAATATTATCTGTAAAAATAGTAAACTTTATAGCGAGTTCATTTAAACTTCAGTCATTTAACACTGATCTACGGCGGCGATCTTCTAATGAATTGTAATGGTAAGATAGTAAATTGGTTTCAAGTCCACAGTCACAATAGCAGGAAGGATGACTAGCAAAGTATTTGAATAACTTACTCACGGAAGGTAAGTTCTTTTTACTATTTTTTAGTATTTAAAAGTAGAAAAATTCCAATTATATGCAAAACTTAAGCATACATTATAATTTTTAAGTAGTTTACATTAATTTACTAATTTAGAACTTAATAAAATGCGAATGAAGATAAAGTTCAAGTTTCTTCTTAAGCTTGCAATCTTAACTTTATTTCAAATTAGAAAGAAGAGGAACCTTTCTTCCTCTGTCTCCTAAAGCTTTTGGTTTTTATACTAATTCAAGCCTAATTTTTCAAACTATTTTAATTGTATTAGTTTTACTAAAGTTTCTGGCAACAACCGTAAACTAGTAAGAACTGAAAGCATCAAGTATAAATCTGTGTGGTGCTGTTGTTGTTGCTTCAATTCTTCCTGAAAAATTATTATCGAATAATTTTTGTTCTCAAAAGTATTTAACTATTCAGTTTACCCTTTAATGTAGCTAACAATAGTCTCACCATGTAATGATCCTAGTGTGATTTCATTTTAATATGTTCAGTGTTATAATCAGTGTGAACCGAAGGATATTTCAGTATAAACAAAAGTATACTTCATTGTGAAAAACAGGATCCCTTAGTATGAACAAAGAGTCAAAAAATATTGGAAAGTGAAACTTTTAAGATTTACACAAGAACCTTGATTATCCGAAGCTCTTTGATATAAATACCCATTTTAATCAATATCTATTTTTTTTAAAGCACGAGATCTGAGAAAAGTTTTAATTTCGTTAATATCAAGAAATTATTGAAAGTTAGAAACATTGAAAGAATTATTTGAAATATTGAATTTCCGTTTTATTTTAATACAACTGCACAAGTCCTTCAAAATAATATTGAAAAATTTAAAAAAAAAACACTCTTTGAAAGTATGACTACATTTAATTGATAATTTCCTGCGAGCAACAAATAAACTTTTTGCTAGTTGTTTCTTCTTGGTTTCGCTAAGGAAGTCAGAAAGTTTTAATTTTCGCTGTTTAAATCCCACTAATAATGAAAAATTGGTTAGTTTGACCACCATTGCATCTACTTCTGCTAAAAGAATGCGTTGTATCTAATATATATATAAGAAAATGCTTCATAGTACGAGAAAAATCAAGAGAATACCTTAAAAAGGAATGTAAATTATTGAAATATACATCGAAAATCGATGAAATCAGCTGTAATTTAGAATTATATGTTGCTTTATAAATGGTTTATTCAGAAAAAAAAGGAATAATTACCTGTCTTAGGCAGCACTGTAAGTGAATTTCAAAATAAATAACTCTTCACCTGCTTCATAAAAATACAGGCACTAAATGATCATATTAAAATTCAATTTCAGAAAACATATCAAACATTTATTCATTGAAACCAATAATAATAAACTAAACTTTCAGAGTTCATGTATGAATGTAGATTAAAAAACGATACCTCAATGACTCGAATATATTGATTATCAAAAGTAAATCTGGTCCCAATTACTTAGGTCCTTCTATACCAGAAATAGAAATATAATGGCAAGATTTATATGATTTTCTGTTCTATAGTTAGACAACATACGTGATCATGATAGTTCTTAAATAATATCCTTAAAAAAAGATATAACAGTGATGCATATCTTCGGACTATTTTACAAGTAAGCCAATTTAAATATTGGTACACATCCTTGGAAATAAGTAATAAATGACAAATATTATTCTTATTGTGTGTTATTCTTTTTACTATAAGGGTATGGATGAAAGGGCTCGGGGCATCACAATGCTAAGTCACATGTTTACATGCCGAGTGAACTATCTTTTGCCTGTTTTCAAAAATTGTTTTTCCTTTCGACGAATATTGTTGCTGCAAAAGCTGTAGCAAATGTGAAATATGATGGAAAGTATATTTTAGTTGATACAGAAAGTTGTGCTAATGCTTATTTCACAGCAAAAGTGATAGTAGAATCAAGAAACAGCAAGTCTGACTTCTGAAGATGTGAAGCTGTAACCAATGTAAGTAGCCTATCGTTTAATATAATTTAAAAACCTAAATTTAGCATTGTTTTGCCCCCGGCTCTTTATGCCCAATTTTATATTGATTTAGTGACAATATGATACATTTTAGCTATCTCAGTTAGCAAAAGCTTTAAGTTCAGACCAGCGGATATAATGTGCAATATTGTTTTACAGATACTTGCTGCAGATGCCTTCAGCTAAACCTAATATTGCAGATGGATCTTACATGAAAATTTTTAAAAAAACTGAAGAATTTCTGAATAGTTTTAAGAAGAATGTTGTTTTTGCTAAGAACTCTAATAACTAATTGGAAGCAACACTCAAAAATGAACAATCTTTGGAAAACCATAGGAATAACATGAGACTTTAGAGAGATATTTTGAGATAATGGCCAGACTTTAATCAGGATTAAACCCTTCAAATATATCTCTTTTGATAAACCTGCTTTCGCTGAAGATCAGAAATACTGAGCAAGTACTACAGGAATTGGTAGCCTGCGAAACTAGATCATTTCCACTTGTAGAAAAATGGCATATTGGAAAACTGATCTTCAATCAATTGAAGTTAGAATCGAAGGTAAACAACAATGGCATATTATATGAATGTTCTGGTAATTGTATGTAATAAAGTTTTAAATTTGAATCGCTACTAGCGTAGAATTCCTTGTTAGATGCTTTCATTAATTCAGATTTAACGTGTGACTTAGCATAATAATGGATACCCGAGCTCTCATCCATTGCTTATTATGTCAAATATAAAACAAAAATAGAAATAATTAGGTTTAGAATTATTTCGTTCTGCATTCAACAGATAAGAATGTAACAAATTTAGTTCATTTATATTATAGATTTTAATACCAAAATAATGAATTTTATGATTATGTTTTTTTACTAATTATGCTTCGTTTATAGTTTAATATTATTGCATGATATTTAAAGATGGTGATGGTAAGAAAAAGAAATGGAGACAGTTTATTACTCTTTGTGCTGAAATAATTTGTTAGAAGTGTTGCATTTTCATGTACTTCTTTACATCTGACAGTTAAATTACTTACATTCTCATAACTTCATATATTGATTGAAATCATGCATCCTACTAAAATAACTAACAATCGACTATTTTATGTAAATATTTTGATCACTAAGGAATGAGTAATGAGTTACAGTTTTTATAAAACATTAGTTTATATATTAGGTTTTTTCTGGGTTGAAAACCTCACGTATGTTTACTTCTCCAATAGCATTTAGTATTTTTATAATGATGTGGAAATTTAAAATATTCGTCGATTTTATAAAACAAAAATTTTATTTGAAAACTTAACAAATTACTTGAACTAAATTTAAATATAGAAAAAGTTTAAACCAAATTTTTGTTAATAGTTAATATGCTGAAAATATATGACAAAATCGGTAAATATATATTATCTTATAAATAATGTACAAATTAAACCTCTTTATCACTTAATAAATTCAGTCTTATTGTTTACTAATTTGTAATTGAATTCTGGTGATAATATTTGGCATCAAGTTTATTTCCAGAATAAATAACTTAACTAATGTAGTTAATAAATATTTTTTACTTATTATAAATTTGTAAAAATATTAATTTATTCAATTATTAAAAACTAGAATAAAAAATTTGTCAATATGCACACTTGAACGATAGGCATTTAATTTAATCCCCAAATGATTTGCTAATAAGCCTGGTCTAAATAAAATAATGAAATATTCCAAAATAATATTTCCAATAAATAAACATATCCCGCAGGATATGAAATTGAGCTATCGAAGATTTGTAAGATTTTCTTTTTAAGAATGTGGCTGCATTTCATAATTCTAAAAGAGCTATAATAAATTCAAGAAGTTTTTTTGTATAAAAAATACGCTAATTTGATATGTATGCAAAGAAATCTTTAGGGAGGGGAAAAAAATTACATTTGTTTATTAATTATTTTGGTCGGTAACTTATTAAGATTTCTTCAACAATATCTCTCTTTTTGTTGTTCACGCCGATAAATTTATTGTTAGAAGTATTATCTTCCAATTTAGACTTATGGAATTATAAAGACATTAATGCCGCTATTTTTATATTTTTTACACGCTTATGACAAAATCAAACCGCTTTTCTCACCCTAATGAAAGTTTTTTTTTTGTAATTTAAAACATTCAGTCTTAATTAAAACAGCCTGCAATAACTGTGGCATAATTGCAGTTTATAGAAGATTCTTATGCGTTTAATTTTTACTTTATTATTGTTATTTTTTCTTTCAATCTCTTAAAAAGATGAAATAAAAGAAGCGGGTGATAAGAAAGAATGTCTTAATGTTGATGAGAAAGATCTCCCATGAGTAAAAATGGTAGATTTATAATGAAACTATTGCTACTCAAAACGTTTTTATGCGTCTTCAACCATTGTTTCGCAACGATGGAATTTTAATTATAAAAGTGTAGAGGTTATTTATGAAAGAACGTAATATAAATATTACTTTTCGTTGAGACTAAATTTCTATATTCAGAAAAGACACTTATTTTTCTTCCTATGAAATTTGCATTTCACAAATATTTTTATTGGACAATAATATTCATTTGGAAAATGTACTGAGTATAAAATTTTTTACGCCAGCTTTTATAAACATTTTTTTGTTAAACATTAACCATCTGTACTGCGGAGGAATTTTTATGACAGTTTTTAAATATATTTTTTAATTAAACAATAATATTTATTTGGAAACAGTACTATAGCAGAATTCTTTTTATGCCAGATTTTACTAATATTTTTTGTAATAAACAATACTTTTTAAAACAATAATATTCGCTTGGATATTATTGTTACAATTCAACAATATCCAAAAACAATAATATTCGCTTGGAAGTTGCAATGTTATAAGATTGTATTATTTCAAAAGCAAAGCAACGTTTTGCAATGCATACATAAATTATACAAAAAAAATCTTATTATTTATTTCGTTTCATTTATTTACTTATTTTTTATTTTTGACAACGTTGAAAACGTTTGAAGATTCAATGAAAAAAAGGCGAGTCTTGTTTCGAAAAAATTTAAAGTAAACGCATATTTTTTGAACTAAATTTGCATTCAAAAGAGAAAAATATCTTAAAATTTTTTTTCTCCTTATTTGGAACCTTGCTACAAAAACCTTTTCAATTTGAATCTTACAAATTGAAAAAAGTTATTTTCTAAAATAATTTACATGAAAAGCAACAAGAGGCATAGTAGCAAAATTATGTTTTTAATAATAAAAATAATATTAAACAAAAAATTTTAAAAAAATTAACTCTGTCAGAAATCGAAAATACTAATTTCAGATTGTCTTAATTTTTCATGTTACTTAATTTTTGAAGATAATTATCTAAAACATTTTCTGTAAATATGAATCCTAGGAGAGAGAAAAATTTAATTTTAATAACCATGAAATTAAAAATCATAATTTTGAAGAAAAATATAAAAAGCGATTTGCTAGAATTATTGTAAAATTATATGTATTCAAACTTTTAGTTATGCACTGTTTAAATTATTGGAGCTTGTTGGACAATAATATAGTTCCTGCAATCTTTAATATAGTGTTGGGTTGAATCTCATTATGATACTTCTTAAACTTGATGATATGATACTGTACTTCTATGATACTGTACTTATTTTTGCACAAATTTCGCACCATATTATGATTCAAAGTTGAGCTGATTCTTCTAGCAGAGTATTTAAAATTTAATTTTGCTACTATAAAATAATTGAAACATCACTTTCGATGCATGCAATAATGTCTTTTGACGTTGGAAATAATTGTTTGTAACAATAATATATTATTGTTAAAAAAAATTTTTTTTTCAATTTTCATTAGCTAAATGTACTAATGCTATAGATTCTTTAATTAACTTTCTTTGCTGTTTCCCACTGTTTTCTGTCATAAAAATAATTTGATAAAATCGATGTGTGTTTCAGAAAGAGAAAAGGAGGGTTGAAACCACCCCCTAATCATAACAAAGCCGTTTATATTTATGTATTGTTGGACCCTGTCCGAATGCATCTTTGATACCTTTTTATTTGGTCTGAATTGCAAAGGGAAAAAGCGTCATCTCCCCATTCATGTGTGATATCCTATGCCAAACAATGGCATAACCCCCAGATGAATATACTTTTATGACCTATCTTTGTCATATTTCCGAACGCATATTGGAAACACCAAACTGATTACCCTGTTCCTCTTCTGTTTAGTTGGCAGGAAATGATAAACGGTAACAAAATATTTTTAAATATTCCAGCGCAAATAGTTTTTTTTCTTTTTTTTTTTTTCTCTGTTTCAGGGTTTTTCCCGGTCAACATAGCGATTTCAAATATAGGGTAACCGCGTACCTGGAAAGTCATGAAAAGTCATGAATTTCGGTATTGAACTAAATTTGTCACGAAATGTCATGATTTTAACTATTTTTTAAAAAAAATATCATGGAAAGTCATGGATTTAGGTTGCCGAAAAATTTAATTTTTAAAATGGAATCCCCAAATTTCATGGTGTTTCGAATATCTTAATTTCTAACAAAATCCCCACTCACAGTCATATTTTATTAAAATATAAAATGCTTTTATCATGTTCCTTAAAAATTATGGTGTTCTTTCAAAAAATGAAAGAAAAAACATCATTTCCAGAACAAAATATCTTTTAAACTTCTGTGATTTCAAGAGTTTTTATTATTATTATTATTTTATCAATTTAAAATCTATAAATAAGAAGATGCAGAGTATAACTGTTTTGGTTGTACCTATCATTTCAATTAATGTTATTATAATGCCTTTTTAAATTTATTGTTCTATTTTTGTCGGAGAAAATAGTAACTTCGTTAAGTCATGAAAAATTCTTGGAATTAGTCATGGAAAATCATGAAAAGTCATGAATTTAAAAATCTAAAATTTAGCAGATACCCTAACAAGCACCATTTAAATATACGTATTCATACATTTTTTTCCTTAGTTATTTTACTTAAGATAGACCTTTTTTTTCGATTACTTGCGTAATTTCTCAAAATCTACTAGAAGTTTATAAATAAGCACAACTGACTTTGAGTAATTTAAAACTATTGTCATGTAATCGAAATATTACTAGATTTAGTGTTAGCAATTAGCAAACACGTCTTTAAATACTTATCAAAGCATGACTATTGTTATAAATTACAATGAGGAACAAATTTTCTGTCGCATTCATACAAATAATTAATCTAGCCTAATTCGGTGGGGATTTCAAATCTGAAAATTATTTGGCTCGTAAAGCTACAGATTTTTTTTAAATGACATTTTTGGTCTATTTTTTGTTGAAATGTACAATAAATGTTGATTATATGTAACAGGGAGTCACGCAAATATTGTGACAAACTTTTAGGACAATTGACTAAAACTACACACCTATAAATGTCATTGCATTCGGCTGGGGGAACTTCCCGACTATGATATGTTTAGAACCACACGAAGAAACAGTTCATAATAGGAAAGCTCCCCTATTAGCGTATGAAGACATTTCCGGGCTTGAGTTTCAATTTTATTCCTGATGATGTTTTCTAACTCCCTAAAAA